AGTGCTTTTGAATTCACTCGTGACGACCAGTGGCGTCGACCAAACTCAATTGACAGTACGTTTTGGGCGAATAAAACTGGGATTCGAGCCGTACGTGCCCGGATGTTTCATGGCGTTGTTTTGCCATTCGTTTACATCGATTTGGGCTGCCAACGGTGGCGAAACGCAGCTGTTGCAGACGATATCTCATCGCCGAGGATCGCTACCTTCGTCGTTGACCAGGTCGTTGACAAGCGAGCGCGCCACGTCAGCTATATTAATATTGGCCATGCGATGGATGGTGGCACAATTGCGAGTCGTCAACCGTGGGCACGAATTTGCGACGCCGACACATTCGGCGTCTCTTGCACTCACCCCATCGACACTGTGCATACCAATAACGCCTGTCTGTGTTGAGGCTGGTGGTTTGCGGCGCCAGAAGGAATAGTTTCTTCGCGGAACGTGTGAAGCTCTGGTTTTGGACAAGGCCAAGCGTCAACCGCGCTGCCGACCCGCCATCTCACCCTTGATAGCGGCACAGCCAGCTTGCTTATTATAGCGACCATCAAGACGAAGTCCTGCAGCCCCAGCTCATTTGCGATTTGCTCATCAAACTCCAGACCTCTTGGCTACTCAAGGCTCGTTGAACCACACACCACCCCCTTGTTGGGCGGTGGTAAACGCCAACACGAGCCCTCTTCGTCTCCACTATCCACCTACGTTTATAGCTTCGGGGACGAACCTCTATATTCCCAAGACTCTAGCATGTTCCCCGTCGATTCCAAGCGTTCCTCGTTGTAGTTGGCTTGTATTAGCGTTGCCAAAATCGCAGTCGGTGCCACGGACTTTGGTGCGGCGTCTGCAACAGCGAAACGAGAGGTCGCACGTTCTGCTCGAAAAAAGCTTGAACCTCGGGATCGAGCGCGGTCGCAGCAAATTCGACGATCGCGCACTCTTCCGCGCTCGTATAGAGCTTTGTCGCGATCGAGACGAGAAACTGGTTACGTTGGCTCGTGTGCCGCCGGCGCAGTGCGACGTCGGTCACCGATGGACCGCGCCTGACATCCTGGCGACTCGTGTCCAGCGCACGCTGAAGCGCGGTCTTGAACTCGTCTCGGAGCGCCTGGCGTCGCTCGATCTCGACAAGGATCGCTGGCGTGACAAAGTTGAGGACTTTGATGCGCGACGGGATCAAAATATGCGGTACTTCTTGCAGCACACGGCTATGTTCGACAGCCTTGGCGATGCCGGTGTTCGATTTGATGCGGCGAAGAGACGGTGCTGCGTCAAGCAGTGGCGGCGGGCGGCAATGCGTCGGCGGCTGGATCGGCCCATACGAGAAAGGCGGCGTCGTCTCTTCTGTCGCATCAACGCCGCTCGCATCGTGCGACAGTCTGGTTTGAAGCGAGTTCTTGGACCGAATGACAAGCGATTTCACGCTCGACGAGAGGTGGGCGCTGCACGCTTTGACGCGACCGAGAAGGCTCAACGGTGGCGCGCCATTCGTGTCGAGGCTCCCAACGAGCTTTCGCCGCGCTTGGACTTCGAGCATGTGCAACGACATACAAATGCTCTCCAGCAGCACGCTCGCTTTGTAGCTGTCGTGCGAGCGCCAGAACGCAGCGTGCATCGTTGCTATCGTGTCTTGCGTCAGCAGCTCCAACGCATTGACGGTCGTTGCTGTCGTTGCGGTTGTTAGAATCTGAGCCACCACGTGGGCACACTTGGCGACAGTGACTAGAGAGGGCTGTCGCAGACCCAGCACGAGGTGGCGAAACGCACTGGGATGGCGTAGCCACAAACACGGCGGCAAAATGGCGCTGGCGCACGTACTGTGGGCGGTATGGATGGCGTCCATCGCAAGTTTCATCTCTGGCGAGGTGCAGAGCACGGCGAGAACGTGCAAGAAGACGACTTTGCTCAGATGCCAGTACCGCGCCTTGTAGCATTGCAGAAGAAAGAGTGCGATGGCTTGTGGTGCGCTCGC